TCTGAGCTTTCCCTTTGCAGTCAGTGCAGGGAAAGATATGTTGGGACTGAGCAAGTCAAGATGCCTCTGGGAGCACTTTGTCCCAGCCCGCTGTAATGGGAATCGAGATGCCAGCTGAGCTGCTGCTGTCTGCCTCACCCCTAGCAACAAGTAGGTGAACCTACCTGTACAAGGGACCCTTAATGCCAAGTATTTGCAGTACTCATGGTTTAGCTCTAGGATTCGTGTGTTCGATATTTCGGCCCTCCACTCTTGTGGAAAAAAAGCTTCTGCTTACCAAAAAGTGATGAACGACTATTAGCTAACATGTCAAAACCAGCCATGTAGTGCCTATTTTTATGCCTGCAGAGGATTATTCTGGCACCTCCAGTGGAGCGGAACGTTACCAGCAGATCAGACTTGATGACTTCAGAAGGATAGAGGCCGAAAAATCAATGAACTGAGGCAGAGACCTGATTTTTGTGAAACTTGCTTGTGATGCAGAGAAAGAAGAGCTGGAGCTTTTATGCATCTTAATATGGTGCTTTTCCATCCCAGAGCTTTTGTTATTTGTTTGTGTTTGCATTTGAGTTCAGACCTAAAAGTACTCTACCATCAGCAAGCATGCAGGGGAGCAGCGCTATTTTTCTTGCCCAAAGTAGAGGTAGCCTCAGCCAGAGATGGGAAGCACTGCTTCAAAAAGAGGTTCTCAGGCCTGTCTATGCACAGCAACAGGACACTGAAAATTTGCTTGCGTGCACCATCAGCATCGTGCCACAGGTTGCTGACCCCTAGTTTATGCTGATGCATTGAATTTCTGTCTCTAGTTACATTTTTGGTCATCCTGTGATTATCTCAGCTTTCTCTCATCATATAGAGAACATATATACATATTTTTGACAGCTTAGTCTGAAAGTCAACTCATTATGGGCAAGTAGAAATCTAAATGGAAATCAGGGTTAAAAGACATCTGTTACAGTGTTTGGCGTGTGTGCACTTGGCATCTTCAGTCTGTGATACTTACATACTGTTACAACGGGATTTGTGCTCGGTGGCAGTTTTAGTGGATTTAACATCTTGCCTTTTAAAGGAGGTGGCGGGGGGGGCAGGACCTTAGTTCATTGCAAATGTTATTATATAGACAATGAAATGGTCATTCCCTTTTAGCCAGTCATAAGAAACATAGATGACATTGGAAAAGTTGCTTAATTTTATCTTCTCCTTTCCTCTCCCTTTGCTCCCCCAAATCTTTCCTAGCCTTAACATCTGGCATGAAAGCATTCCAGCTCCCAAATAGACAGTCTCCTTTCCGAGCAAAGACTGAGAATGGAAATTGCTAATGCAAACTATGCCTGTTTCAGAAAGCTGCAAAAAAGTGGAAGTGGGGAGACTGATGTGGAGCATTCAGCAACCTCACTGCTAGCAGCAGCGATCAACATCTGCTGTAATTACTTTCTTTAGAACGTTACAAATGTGCTGATAATTTTAGTGGGAAAAAGAATAAATGGGAAAAGATATGGAAGATACTCTTGGTGAATTTTTTAATTAAAATGTTTTTGATTTTTAAGAAACTCTTAAAGTAGCAATTAAAATAAGATGATATTAGTCTATGCTTACACAGGAAAGCCTTGCCAGTGTTAACTAGCTTTTACCAAATAAATTGCTGCTTCTGGATTTGCATTAGCAAATAATTTCTGTAGATGTTAATCAGGAAGAAGTGTATATTGAGGGGACGAGATCCTAGCCGCAAAACCAGCTTGTAGGTCATGGGCAGAGTGTGTGTAATGGTAGGGAAGTGTTCTGTCTAATTAAAGGCACTGTCTGCTGGGAGTTCTGAGCTTTGGGAGTCCATCGATGACAAGAGATTTTAGACTAGACCATGTCTGAACTTTATTTAGACTAAGAATCTTAAAACAGGAAAGCCTTACTTCTTCAGCATTTGTATTTCAGTAATTAAATATGAGGTCTTGGCTAGACTCTCTTTAAACAAAGCAAAAGAGCCAGGGTGTGAAATAATGTGCTATATGATGACCTAATCAAGTCCCAGTAAGTCTGGGAATGTTTCCACTGGCTCCCTGGGAGCTGGATTGGACCCATGCAGCCATTCCTGCCCATTGCCAGTGCCGCTCCAGGGACAGCAGGCTCCTGAAACCTCCCAGTGGGGCACAGCTGAAGGATCAAGCTTTTCAGTGCTATCTTTCCCCTCTTTTTTCTCTGCTGAATGGATAGCATTAAAACGACATGTGAGCTAAACAGGCTTTGGAAGACTTGGAAGAGTGGTCATGTTTGTGGGCTCTTTTTATGGTGGGATAAAGCAGTTTGGTCTCAGTTCAAATGTCATATGCTTTTCTCTTTTAAAGTTTGTCTCCCTCAGTCAGTGAAGTTTTCCCAATGGTATCATACTAAACTGTTAGGCACAGTGCTTTTCCTCACTGGAGGCTGATGGGAAAAGATGATGTGTTTTAGCAACGATGCCAGTGAATTTCAGCTCCTGAATTTTCTGGTTGCTGAAATGCAGAGTACAGACACGGTTTCAATGAGGACATTGACTGCAATGGTGTGCATGTGAACACTGGTTGCAGTGCAGAGCTGAGTGGTGTAGAGCTGGTATCTCCGTCCAGTAGTGAATTTCTTCAGTTACTCATTTGTTCTTCAATTACTCATTCATTCCTATAATAAATGTACAGGAATCCCTACAATAAATTATTTGATTCATTCCTGTAATGAATTCAAGCTCATGCCTTACATATGCACTTACAAGATGTAAGTGTATTGAGGAATACTCTAAGAGGTCAACCTGAGTATACGTTATCTTTTTTTTAACTATCAGATCACGAGTTTTGTAAACGTTTCCCACATCACTTGTTTTTCAGTAGTAATCCATGCACAGATAATTGCTCATAGCAAAATTGGTGATGGTTCCAGAAACAAGGAATACTATCTGAGCTACCAGGCTGTTTTCCAACTTGCTTGCAATTAATAAACAACGTGAGTCCATGAACCCGAATGTGATCCATTTTGTTGTCTGGGGAAAACCATTCATGTTTTCAGAGTTTAAATGAAGGAAACAGAAATGCTAATCTTGTAAAAATGGTCAGGGTCAGGGAAAGCATTACAGTTCTGTTCCAAGCACATGGTAGAGATGATACAAAAGTGGAAGATGGTGATCCCCACAGGCATGGCAAGAGCTTTGGGGATTGTAGTGTTTATCCTAGTAGCCCTGTGCATGGTGGCTCCTCCTGGGCGAAGACTACTTGCCTACATCAGGTTTTTCCTTTTAAGGTTCAATTTGGGCATTGCTACAGACAATTTAGGGGAGAATCATTAACTTCATTCTTATCTCCTCCAGTCAAATGACTTCACACAGAGAAGCAGTAGCTGTGTATGCTGACCTACGCTGAAATGAAGAGAGCTAGATTTGCTAGCAGAGGAGCTGCTCTTCATTGGAACTAGTGTGTCCGGACACGTGAGCATGGTTTAGCCATGCAGAGCAGCTTTCATGAAATAAAGCCTTGGCAGTGGCAGAGATGGGAGTAAACCCTATGGTCAGTGTACTCTTCAAAGCAGTAAAGACCTGGACTCGGCCCCTCTGAGCTCAGAGTAACAGGTCCGTGATGTTCTGGTAGCTGTAAGAAAAGGTTTTCGAGCCTTTTAGCAAGGGACATAACACAGCACATTGCATGGTCTGATCTTCCTCTTTGAGATCTGCATGTGGTGCCCACCAGCCGTGCAGGTTGAGGTTTTGACTTCTACCACTTCAGAGGAGAAGTGAAATTCCTCTCTCTGAAATACTAATGAGTCCTGTGCTGTTCTCCAAGCGGTGAGCAGGCAATGCATCTATTCAGCCAGGAGCTCTTTTTGTAATAACAGGGTTTAAAATATGTAAATCTATTTTCAAAGCAAAAAATACCCCCAAAC